GAGTTGAGGAAGAGTATCTTAAAGGAAGCTCATAGTAGTCCTTATTCTATGCATCCTGGCAGTAATAAGATGGTACATAAGATGTATTAGGATTTGAAATCACAGTATTGGTGGCTCACCGATGAAGAGGGATATCACAGATTATGTTGTCGAGGTGTTTGACATGCCAGCAAGTTAAAGAAGAGCATTAGTTTTCCTTCTGGTTACACCCTACTTCTATTCCAAAGTGGAAATGGGATAAGGTTACTATGGATTTTGTGATTGGGTTGCCTTTAACTCCTAAAAAGAAAGATGCTATATGGGTGATAATTGATAGATTAACTAAGTCAGCTCACTTTCTTCCTATTAGGATTGACTTCACCATGGAGCAGTATGTAGAGCTTTATATAGATAAGATAATGAGATTGCATGGGATTCCTTCTTCCATCATTTTAAAAAGAGATTCGAGATTTACTTCTAGATTTTGGAAGAAGCTACATGAGGCCTTGGGTACTAAGTTGAATTTTAGCATAGTTTTTCATCCTCAGACAGATGGTCATTCAGAGTGGCTTATTCAGATTTTGGAGGATATGTTGAGAGCTTGTGTTATTAAATTTGAGGGCAGTTGGGAGAAGTACATTCGACTTGCGAAATTTGCCTACAATAACAGTTATCAGTCGAGTATTCAGATGGCCCCTTTTGAAGCACTGTATGGTAGGAGATGTTAGGAGATGTAGGACTCCACTATGTTGGTCACAGTTGAGTGAGGGTAAGATGGTAGGTCCAGATTTGATTCGACATACAAAGGAAAAGGTCAGAATTATCAAAGATAGATTGAAAGCAGCTTCAGATCGTCAGGAGTCTTATGTAGACTTGGAGAGGAGAGATATAGAGTATGCAGTAGGAGATAAGGTTTTCCTTAAGGTATCTCTGTGGAAAAAGATATTGAGATTTGGAAGAAAGGGTAAGCTTAGTCCTAGGTTCATTGGTCCATACGGTCCATACGAGATCATTGAGCGTGTGGGTCCATTGGCCTATAGACTAGCTTTACCACCAGACCTGGATAGGATACATAATGTTTTCCATGTATATATGTTGAGGAGATATCGATTTGACCCACCACATGTGATATCAATGGAGTTTGTACTATAGAGCTAGATTTAACTTATGAGGAAGAACTAGTGAGGATACTTGCTAGAGAAATAAAGGAACTAAGGAATAAGAGAATTCCTCTGGTAAAGGTTCTTTGAAGAAACCATAAGACCGAGGAAGCTACGTGGGAAAGTGAAGATATTATGAGACAACAGCATCCTCAGTTATTTAATTCAGGTGAATTTTGAGGACAAAATTCTTTAAGAGGGGAGAGCTGTAACGCCCTATTTTTCTTGTGTTTGAAATAGTAGTTTACCGGTCTATGAATAGTACCACCTGTCTGTGAATAGTACTACCGGGCCGGAAATCGGTATTATTTTGGTCCGAAAAAATTACTATTTTATTTATATTTTATTTAATATTTTCAGAGCATGTATATATGATTTTTATGGGTAGAAAGTAAGTAATGAATATTTTTGGAGAATTTAGATAATTAGTGAATAGTGAATTGTGGTGTTATATTAATTAAGAAAATTTTGAGCAATTTATTTTTATGGAGTAAATTTAAGAATTTTGTGGAGATAAATAATATTTTGAAGGAATTTAATTGGAGAATCTTTTTAGCCACTAGATTAGATTACCATTGACTAAATCTTAGCACCCAATTATGATAAAAGAATAAAAAGCCCTTTAGTTGCTTTATAAAAGCCAACTTTAATTATTTGAGCAACATTTCTTCTTCTTCTTCTCCATTTTAACGCCAACTTCCTCTTCTTCTTCTCTTTATTTTTCTTCACTTTCTACTTGCTAACTCCACTAAATTCACTCCATTTAACTTGATTTAAGTAATAAATCCTAGAGATTAAGGCTTGAGAAGTGATTTTTGGTGACTAATTTTAAGAAATTTGGAGAGTTACTGCTTAAGCCAAGTAAGTGATTTCATGATAATTTCATTATCTTTGGGTTTAGATTCTTCTTTTAGCATATACATGCTTATTCATGCTCCAATTTCTTCTTTTATGTGTTTTCTTTGTTTTGATTTTGATTTTCTTTTTTCTTACATGTAGAGGATGAAGAGTCTTTTACCAAAGGCAAAGGCAAGACTAAAACTTAAGGAGCTTTAATTTAAGTTTGTTAAACCTTGTTTTTAAGGTTAGTGTTCATAAATACACTTTCCCTCTTTGAATCTTTGATTTTGTGAATTTATGTTACTTATGAAAATTTGGGAATTTTATATGAAATGATTTGATTGTTGAACTTTGGTTGTATAAACATACTCTTAGGTGATTTCTAAGCATGACTATATGTTGAATTGAAGTGGAAAACATCTTCCTCTTCTTCTCCTAAGAAAGGTCGAACCTACTAAGGAAAAGGGCATTAAGTTTTTGTTGTTTTCTTTGTTGGTTTATGCTCTTAAAATGATGTTTGATGTGTATTTAGTATGTCGTAGAAATCTCTACCTTGTATATTTTATCTTTCATATTCTTTTTCATGACTAAAGTAAGCTAAAATTTGGAGAAATGTGGATTTGATTTAGATAATGCATGATGAGGTTATAAATGGTCATTTGGGTGTATAAAAGTTGTGTTGGCATGCTTGATGAAGGAGGAAACCTCCTCCCCTTGATCTTCATGAAGAGGCCGAACCACCCTAGGGTGGTAAGGTTTACATTTTCACTCATTATGTGATGTTGAACCTTCTATGTCATGCAACATATATATATACATATATATATAATATATTTATATATATATTTATATATATTAATCTATATATATATTATATATATTATATATATAATATATTATTAATATATAAATATATTTCATAAGTGTGATACATTAGATAATTTTCCTATGTTCTAAAGTTTATGAGAAATGGGTGTTTTTAAGTATTTGTGCTTTGAATTGCATAAGGAAAATATGATTAATTGATAAGGTTTTATTCATAATAAATCTTAATATGACTTTAAGAAAAGTTTTAAAAGAAATGAGTTTAAGAGAAAATTTTCCTATGATACGTAATTGTGCCTAAGTATGAAATTTTCATAAATTACTTAAGTTTAGATTAAGCTTCCATTATGATTTCAAGAAGATTAAAGAAAAATAATTTTTATGAGAAATGTTATGACTTAAAAAAAATAAAACAAGGATTTGGGCTCTAATATATTTGGTGTGAATTTGTTGCATGATTTGATTTATTATGTAAGATGAGCATGCTCGGCATTTGATGCCATTATGATAAGAAGCTAGCTATGATCATATGCTAGGCACGTGGATGTTTTATGTTAGGGCGGATGCGCTTTATATGTTATGATAAGTTGGCACATAAGGCCATTATGAAAAAGTTATGAAAACTTATCTATTTTTTTTTCTCCTAAGTGTATGTGAGCCCTTGTAAATATTTTAAAGGAAATTAAATTCAAGAGATTTCATTATTTTAGTAAATCTTAGTTTAGAATAAATGTTTAAGTAAAGGATTTATGGTGTAAAAGAACTAAATTAATTATGAATTATTAATTATGTTATTAATTTTAAGTTTATTTGATATTTTTTATGCTATAAATGTTAATGCATGCTGAAATTTGATGATTCTATGATTATAAATGATTTCATGAAATTTGTGTTTTAAGTATGCTGTCATCACAACATTGGTATGTTTGTAATTTATGGACATCACTGAGTTTTATACTCAACACGTTGATTTTATCACTCACAGGTTGGAGATTGTATTTGCTGCTTAAAGACTTGAAGAGTAGCATTAGAGCTGAGGAGATTATTTTGGTAGTTAATTCAGTGTTTTATGTGATTAAGAATTATGACATGTATAAATATTATATATTTGGAGATAAACATGTGACATATTTTATGATTTGATATTAAATATTTTAAAGATATTTGGCATGATTAGATCATTAGGAATTGATATATATATTTAATGAATGCATTTAATATATATATATATATTATATATATATATATAATGAATTGCATTTAATTGATGAATATTAAAATGCTCATTGAGCATGTATAAAGTTACAGAAGTTATAGCAAGTGAGTTGTGTTGTTTTTGATAATTTTGAGTAATGGAGTTTGGAGTTGAATTTGGGGGAGTGTTTTTAAGTATTCACATTTTTGGTGAGCCTAGTTTTTTTAAGGGATACCTCTTGCAGTTTTTTATAGGAATCCCAAATTGTTTTATATACATTTTAATAACAAAATATCATTTGTTAAATTTGTGAATACTGAGTCACTTCTAATTCATAATATGATTGTATGATCTTTATGTCAGTTAGGAATGTGCCTCCGGCACCGAATGTGGCATCCACCGTTGAGTCTCTCGGGATTGGGCGATGGGTGTTACACGTTTCCTTTGATTCCATAAAGACTTTTTGCCTACTTGCGTTGAATCTACGGCTTCTTTATCTGAAACTGAAAAAAGAAAATCTTGGATGGACTATTTGGGTGAATTGGGCATAGAGAAAGAAGCAGGGTAGATTTGTCATTCCCACTTATTAGATAGTGTAATCCACATGGCAATCTATGTGGATTCCTATTTAGCATCTACTAATAAAAAATCAAATGAATAAGTGGACCCATATCATCCTATTTTTGGCTATACACATGTGCAAAGTTCATTCAATTGTAAAAAAATTAATAATTGATTCATTAAATTGTTAACTTTTTCTGATCATACACCAAAATAGGAAAAACTATAGAGTTCATACACCAAAATTGCAATTATTCCTATAAAATGCATATCCACAAAGTTCAAGCCTCCTCTTGGAAAATTAACCCACAAAAGTACTAAAAAGTTAATAGAAATCTTAGAGATATCTGTATATTTAGCCAACATGAGGATGAAATTATGATATGAATAAATCTGAGGACTAAATAGTAATTTACCCGTTTATTTATGTAGGAGACGAAGCGTTCGCGCACTAAGACGATAAAGAAGAAGACCGCAGTGTCAAGTTGTATCAAAGTGAAGAGGTTCCCAAATTCCTTGCAGTAATGATTGAAAGGAAGAAGAAAAGAGCCAGAAAGAAGGAGAGTTATTTTGAGACTGTAAAAGATGTAGAAAGTACGCATGAAGAGAAAGTTAGGGTTTCTCCTTATTTTCAGACTCAGAAACCGGAAATTGACAGTATTTCTAATTCTGCTCTTCAAGATTGGAATGGGGAAAAGGGGAAAAAGAAGAAGAAGAAGAAGAAGAAGAAGAATAAGAGACTCATTTCTTCGACTTTTGTTGAAAATGATACAATTGCCCCTGTTCTTCTTGGAAAGAAACCAGAGAATTTTGTTAATGCGGAAGACAGGGAGAAGATAAAGAGGAGGAAAAGGGACAATGGTCCTATTCAGTCAGACGGGGATAGGGATTTGGGGATGAAAGAACAAGTAAATGCGGCTCCTAATACGATAAAGAGTTTCGAAGACATGCTTGCGAAATTTGTATACAGAGGAGGCGTTGTTAGGGACAAGAAGATTCCAAAGCCACGAGTTTGCTCTCCCTATTTTGTAAAAGTTGAGAAAAATGTGGAGAGAAAGAAAGAGGGTGACAATAACATGAAGAAGGAAGTAAAGGGCATGGCTGCTATAATTGATGGAAACTTGGAAAGTCAAGTGTTAGAAATTGGGGATATATCAACCACCGGGAGACCAACGGAGATTGAAACACATGCACAGCAGCAAGTCGGAATCAATGAGAGAGAGCTAATGAAAATCAAACCTCTGAAACCATGTGGAAGAGCTGGTCGTGCAGCTAAAAATATTTCCCCCTACTTCCAGAAGGTACCCAAGGAAGAAGAAGATGTGGATAACAGGACTGACAATGAATATAGGCCGAAAAAATCATCAAAGAAGTGCAAAAATGCATCTGTAGGTGCTGATCCCACTGTTGGATATGTCTCCCCCTACTTTCATAAGATACCCAGAAAGGAAGAAGCTATAGACAACAACCACGAGCAGAGGAAGACATCAAGGAAGAGAAAAACTGGTGCTACAATTCAAAATGTGTCGCCATACTTCAAGAAGGTATCCAATGAACAAGAAGCTGAAGCTAGCAGCTTGATTGACGGCAAACGTAAGCGGAAAAAGTCATCAAAGAAAAACAAAGAAGAACCATGTGAAATAGCTGGTCCTACAGTTCGAAATGTCTCCCCCTATTTCCACAAGGAAGAAGCAGCAGATAGTAACAATGGGCAAAAACAGTCATCAAAGGGAAGAAAAAGATCAGCTAGGACCAGCATTGTTCTAACTGCTTCCGAAAAGAGAAGCGAAGCTTATCTAAGGAAAACACCAGATAACACATGGAAGCCACCTCAATCTGAACATGGGCTTCTGCAAGAGAATCATGCACATGATCCCTGGAGAGTGTTGGTGATATGCATGCTCCTTAATTGCACGACTGGTACACAGGTATGCTCTTGGTCTTTTCTATCATGATTAGTTGTAGTATATTTTAATATGCTAGCGTACTCCTTTAAAAGTTGAACTTTCCACATGAAAATACCATAGCACCCTGTATATGCTGTTCAAGTTCATGGTTCCATGCCAACACATATAGTTACACGTTCTGGTATGGCACTCAATATGTTATATTGTTCTCATAGGTCTCCAGCAAGCTCGACTTCTGCTTATCTTGTCTCTTTGTTTCATGATAAATGATCCTAATGTGATAGCAAAACTGTTAAATGTGTAAGTCATCTCCTTAGGAAATGAATATCTGTGCAACGATCGACACATTTAGAGAGCAGAATATGTTTGCCGATAACGGTGATACAAATAATAGATTGCTTTCCATATCACTATCTGATTTTCTTTTTTTCTATTTTCTCATGTTGGTATATAGCCTCTGTTTTCTGTTGACATTCTTTTTATTACCTTCACATCACATCTACTATATCACAAGGACCTCTTCTAATTTTTCCTGGTTGTTCGCTAGAAGTACAGTCCACTAAGCTCCAAAAAACTGAGTTTCACACTCAGAACTGCGAATCATTTCTAAGGAGTAACTTGTGTCATGCATGGATGTTGGCTACTCCCTGTTTCTTTTACTCTGTTTTTTTTTTAAATATTTTTTTAAAAGTTCTTATTGCTATTATCTTTTCTAATATCTGTTCCTCCATGGCTCTATAGTTTAGGCCTTTTTCTTTGAGGGAGAACAGGGAATGCAACAGCAATAGTCAGTTTCCTGTTAGAATAACATTCTTACACAATCTGCATAAGCAAGTGTTGCTAAATTTAGTCGTAGATATTGATCTACATTGCAAAGATGAAGAATGATGCAAGTTTAGTTCATTTTTTGAGACGATCATAAATGATCTATTGCATATGCTGCTGTTTGAGAGAGCGAGAGAGAGAGAGAGAGAGAGAGAGAGAGAGAACAAAAGAAGAAGTATTGCTTTTGCATTCACTATTTATTCTTAAACAGCCTTGTTTGGTGTGGTAGCACATGATGTAAGATGATCAGAAGTAGGCAAGGAAAGCACCTGTAGGCATTCCTTTAGTTTTTTCTTTCCTGAAGTGAGAGCAACTTTTATAAAATCTTATTGCTCAAAATTGAATCAAATTTATTTTGTACATATCGTAACTGGCATTCAACCAATTCATTTTGATATATCAATAAGTTCACATTGCTAATTGCTTTCAAATGCCAATGGACTATTTTTCAATTCAATTCAAATAAGATGATGACAAGTCTCTAAAAATTGTTGGATCTTTGAAAACCTATTGAAAACAAATGGAGTGGGCAATTTCGAACATGCAATTTGTTGAATTATTTTTAGCGAGATAGAAGATGAGAAAATTGAAATCTTAATATGGAGAACTCCTTTCAGGTAAGGCACCATGAATGGAGCCCATGATTAATACCCTTGAACAATTATATAAAAGAATTTAGTTTGACACCTAACCTATAATTGAATTGAATTTCACAATTCAAGAGGCAACAGTTGCAATAAGGCTTCAAAGTTTTATTGTTTTCCCATATTGGTAATTGGTGGCATCCCCATATTTCAGTCCAGCTCAAAATCTATCAGTTATTTATGTTGTCACCACAGAAAAAGCATTAGAAAATAGGCACTGATAGAGGGAAGGGGGGCCAAGGGGGACCATGGCCCCTCCTGGATTTGATAAAATGCATTAGTGGTAACAAGTAACTATGGTGTTGCTTGGTCTAGCGGCTAAAATTCTATGTCAAGCTACTAAGTTGGACTGTGTTTGAGTTTTAAAGCTGTATAGTGATTTTTTTTTTTTTTTTTAGTGGATTTTTTTTTTTTTTTGCTTCTTATGATTTTTTTTTTTTTTTTTGCTTTTATTAATTTAGTTTCTTTTTTCTGCTTTTTTCCTTTAAATTTTTCTAGCTTTTCTTTTTCCATTTTCTTTATAGTTTTTCTTTTTCCATTTTGTTACCAATATGCTTCATTCGACCAAATTAACCAATGTTGACATTATTTGAAGCAATAATCTAAAGCTCAAGAGAGGAACATAAAACAACATAGACTTGACTAGAAACCATCAATCTTTTTGGTCCCTTGTTATAATGACAAACACATCTGGAACTCTACAGGGCATTGCTATTGACTATGACTATTTCTAATCAATAACACCATTTTCGCAGAATATAATAAAATAGCAAGATCACATATTTTTTGGTGTAAATGTAACGCCCGCACCAGACGAGGTGTTAGCTTGAGATGTTGGCTTACCTTAGGCGAATCTCACATCGGCTAAACACAAGGTGAAAGTGATATATATAAAAATGGGTAAGCCTTAGACTAGCAAGAGGCCTTTTAGACTATGAGTTGGTTCTAGCCTGGAACAAATCCGTGCGGACCTGAGTGGGTTTAGCCTAAAGCGGACAATATCTTGCCAGGCCTGAGATGCCATAGTAAATTTGTGTAAGCTATCAAACAAAAACTTAAACTTGTAGTCTTCACCATGCCTAGGTAGGATGTTTTAATTAATAGTTACCGAAACATAAGTATCAACATCAATGATTCTATTGCTGGTGGTTTGGTAAGATTCTAGTGAATTTCCAATGACAGTGATGGCATTTCATGTTTATTGGATCAGATTCTGAGTAGTGGGAGGTATTGAGTCAAATATAATTTCCTTTACCGGTCAAAAAACTTGCTGGTAATAGAGTATTGGGAGTGATATTGCGGAAGAGTTTAGGGCAATTAGTCCTCAACAATTGGAGCTAGAACATGGTGATTGTGTATGGAACAATATAACTAATTGATTTTAAAGAAAAACCTAAGAGCTAAAAACTAAATTGAAAAAGAAAATACAATACATAAACTGATTGTTATTGTCCTATTTATTCTATTTAGACAATTCCTATTCTAGACCGAAAAGCATTTCTAATTTGTTGATAGGAATCCTAAATAAAGAAGGAAAATCGAAAAAACTTCTAATTTAACTTGGATGCTCCTACATGACTCCTCGGGTTTGAAAAAAATTCGGCTCCGTTAAGAAAAGTTTAGATATATAAGCCATAAGAATAGGATCAATTCGCCTAAACTCCTCTTCAGAATATTAGAGCTTTTTCAAGAGCAAACAACATCACAAGCCATTAAATAATCATTCTTCTTTTGTAAGCAAAGGTGATTTTCCAGCTTGGTCAACCTCATCTGTTTTGTTTATTAAACCATAGACGACCCCCGTCTCACAAAATACACCTTCAAACTTTTTGGCATTCAAATACCCATTTATGTTTCTGGTTGTAGAACGTTGCCCATGGACAAAGAAAAACGGTTTCAACCCTAGATAATCTCTTTTTTCTTTTTTTCTTTTTTGTTTCTTAATGGCAATTGCTTTACCTCTTCCTTAAGAGGATGCAAAGTGTAACTCTTGTTATCTTGTAGGAGGTGTAAGTATTAGGCTTTGTCTTATTGTCCATATCATGATCAAACAAGGTTCCAACAAGAATATACCAAAATCAATTGGCACATCGTCACATAAAGCTTCATCTTCCAACTTACCTCCTATAGTGAATTTGACCAAACATTGAAAAGTTACTAGCATCTCGTGCCCCTTCTTTAGTAAGAATGAGAATGTTTTGTTATAGGAAGCTTCAATTTTTCCACACTTTAGATATGATATTTTCCACTCTTTTTTCATCAATGACAAGATCACTAACATTACCACTGTAAAAACATGCGTATGAAAAATAATATCCCTCCAATCTTCCTCTTCATCTTTGATCGTCATTGTCATCACGCTTCATACCACCAAAGACTCAATAAACATAAATTTCCTCAATCTCTTCATTATATTCGTTGAAAACAGGATCTAACTCAAATTCAGCTAAACTCACCCTCTGTTGCGGACAAGAGAATGAAATATATCCCTTGTCTACACAAGTAAAACATCGAACCTGATAAATGCTGCCTCCTTTATTTGCAGGTGAACCAGAATAATTTTGTCCTCCATAAGGTACAATATTTTCCCCTTTTTTTGTTTCTTTCAACATTGGTTGCAACCCCTTGGTTTTATTTGTTGCAGCAGCAGCCCGTGAATTTGTGTTACCAATCAGTTCCATAAATGGTTTTCTGGCACCATAATGGAAAACTCGCTTTTTTAGCGGCTAAAGCATGTTGATGAGCATCCTCTATATTGTGTAAACAAACTACTCCCGCCTCATCTCTAATAGACTGACTTAAACTGGTAAGGTAACAAGCAGTAATTTGATCATTATTTTCAGATAAACCAACTGGAATTGATAAGTTTTGAACTTAGCAGTGTACTCGTCAATGAACATGCTGTTTCACTTCTCATACAATTCCATTGTATAATCAACAGATAAAAATTGCTTTTGCATCTTAGTTTTCATGTATCCCAACTGCTGGTTTTAAGCTTGCCTTGTGCACGTTGCTCTTCAACTCTCTTCCGTTATTGAAGTGCAGTACTCTTTAATTTAAGCTTTACAAGTAGAACTTTTTGACTATCAGCCATGGGTTACCATTCAAGTATGTCTCCAAACTAGCTTATCCATCTAAATAATCCCCTTTATGTCATTTTCCACGAAAATCAGATACTTCAATCTTCACTCCACCATTCAAATCAAGAGTGTGTTGTAATTGCTCTTCCAATTTAATTAACATACTATATAGGAATCCTAAATAAATGAGGAAACCTAGAAAAACTTCTAATTTAACTTGGATGATCTTGCATCAGGGAGGCATGTCTTTCTTGCATCCTGAAGACAGTGTGCATCAAAGCCATAAATCTTGAACTTGCTGGAGTTCACCTTTCCTGAGCTTGGTAGAGGTGCTAATGCTAGATCCCTTTGCACCTTGCTCCTTAGGCTTTCCTTTAAGAACCAAAGATTTCCTATCCATCCATTTTATATGGACTTAAACTGTCCTTTTTTTAATTTAAGGTGCCAATTGATTGGCCTCTTTTTTCTTTTGATGCTCATGCTAGTTTAAAAGTAAAAACACTATTTCGTTAGATAATGAGAAGCAATATTTGGAAAATAAAAAAAAAAAAAAAAAAAAAAAAAAATTTCCTTTAAGAACCAAAGATTTCCTATTCCATCATTTTTATATGGAACTTAAACTGTCCCCTTTTTTTTAATTTAAAGGGTGCCAATTGGATTGGCCTTCATTTTTTCTCTTTTGATTGCTTTCAATTGCTAGTTTTAAAAAGAGTAAAAACAATAAATTATCGTTAGATTATGAGAGCAATATTATGGAAAATAAAAAAAAAAAAAAAAAAAAAAAAGGTTTTTTTAAATGTGAAAAGGGAAACTTGGTTCTTCCCATGAAGAAAAAAAAAAAAAAAAAAAAAAAAAAAAAAAAAAGGTTTTTTTATGTGAAAAGGGAAACTTGGTTCCCATGAAGAAAAAAATGCAAGGGAAAAGTTAGTTTCCGCGAACATAAAAATGCAAGTTCAATTTCTAATTGTTGTAATTGCCTTTATCCTCTTATGACATGACATGTATCATAATTTATAATTTGATTTTTGTATACTGGATGATGATACACTTATTAGTAGGAGGAGGAGAGTCTTAACTTAGCATCATGAAGTAAAACCTATAATTACTATTGAGATGTGGTTAACCTCATTCCCATTTAAATTTAGCGTCTGTTTATCTCCTATCACCCCAATAATTTATGTATTCATTGGTTTGATTTTGTGGTGCTCTCCTTTGCTTACAACTTTAGTTCAACTGCTTAACAAATGACATGTCCTATCTATTTTAGGTTCGGAGAGTTATAGAAGATCTCTTCACTTTATGTCCCAGTGCAGAGGCTGCCATTAACGTCATGAAAGAGGAGATTGAAAGAATAATAGAACCTCTGGGCTTGCAGAAGAAGAGGGCAGTGATGATACAACGCATGTCTCAGGAGTATTTGGAAGATCACTGGACCCATGTTACCCAGCTGCATGGCGTGGGAAAGTAAGTGAAGACTTGTTGCCTCTTTCCTTCTCTTCTAAGGTAGTTTCTGCATTGCATTGAAGCAACTCAAACTTACATTTTGTGGGACTTCCGTCTTTGATTGTTCAGGTATGCTGCTGATGCGTATGCAATATTCTGTACGGGGAAGTGGGATCAGGTGCGTCCCGCTGATCACATGCTAAATTATTACTGGGAGTTTCTAGGTAGAATCAACAATGCTTCATCGTAGATATTATTTTTGTTTATTTAAGTTAATTTGATTTTTGATGTAAATATAGATCCCTCTTAACTTTTGGGTAGTGTTAGAAAGGAAGGAAGGTTATTTTTTTGAAGGGGAATTCTTTCAATTCATGAGGATAGGACTTGATGAATTTTTGTTGGTAAATGAGGAATAGGACTTACTTTTGCTTAACGCCACAATCTCTGACATATGAACTCCTCTCAAAAACTGTAGAGGATAGAGGGAGTTGTAGTGTCAGTCAATGCAACATAAAATTCCTATTTTGAGGCAAAATTTGTTGATGTATTGAATTTATTTATAAACCAATGTTAAATGTCACCCAAAAATTCTAGGAATTTTTTGATGTATAAAACAAATATTGTGACATTTCTTTGGCTGAACTAGAACCTTTGGATATAAAATGTCCATGGTGTCCTTAATTTTTAAAGTTTGCTTTAACGAGTGAGGATGAAATTTAAATTTTAAATTGTTACTCTCCTATTCTAATAATGATAAAAACACTTCCTTTTAGAAGGCCATATTCAAAGTCCTAAATTTTCTATATTATCTCTCCTCTCCTTCTCTCTCAAATTTTTTCTTGCTCTCCTTCTGTCACAGTTCTCTGCAATCATCACGAACTAATACGCAATCACCGTATCAAGCCAGAGGCTTATGATTGAACTCAAACCTCTTCCTTAGGGCTGCATGTGAGTCGTATTCATTGATGGATTTAAAGTATTTGATTCGTACGTGTGGGTCAATCAATTTTTAGACTCAACTCAACCCATTAAATGCATGAATCAGCGGATTATAAATGGATTGGATTGGGTATGGGTTCACATAAATCCGCTGGTCAAATAAATGATAATAATAAAAATATTTTAAAATAAAATACAATTATATTACTAAAAAAAATTAAGGCCTAATAACTAAAAAAAATCTCAACTTTAACATTTTTAACAATTTTAGCCAATTCTTTTAATTGGTACAATTGATACTGTGAAGTAATTTTTTTTTTAACAATTATGATATCCGTGCATTAACCGTTACTACTATGCTGATGTGGCTGTTAGTGGGACACTTGAAATGACATATGACTTGTTGACTGTAATTTTTTTAAAACAATTGTGGCCTCTGACTATTAATCATTAGTACTGATGTGGAGGAAATGATATATACTTACTAACCGTAAATTTATGAGGTATAATTGTTAAAAAATTGGCCAAAATTGTTAAAAAGGCCAAAATAAAGGATTTTTTTAGTCAATTTCAGAAAAAAATTGAGTTTTTTTAGTCATTCGAAATTGTCAACGCTCATGTTATAATAATTAAAAATTAAGAAGATATAAAAATTCAATAAATTGTCAACAGAGTAAGAGGGCAAACTAAATGTTATATAATTAATCAAAAGAGAGGACAAACTAAATGTTATATAATTAATCAATCGTCAAGCTGCTTTAATTTCAAAAATGATAGTATTATTTGTAGGAACTTCTTAAATAATATTATCGCCTTACTTAAACTTATTCTTTTCTTTAGAAGGATAAAAACAAATACCTTTACACTAATCTTTATTTATTATATTTTAATTGTAAAATTTGGTACCTTTTGAATTTTCAAGTTATAATCTCCTTTTCAAATTTTTTTCTTCCTTTATTTTGTTTCATATAATTATTATTTTCAATTAATTCTTATTGAAATGAAATAACATTTTTATGTCATTAATTATTGTAATATATCATTTAAAATAAAAATATTAAAATTAAAATTTATAAAATAATCTCCCTTTTCAAAATTTAATTTTCCTCTTTATCCTTATTTTGTTTCATATAATTATTATTTTCAAATTAATTCTTTATAATTATTATTTTCAATTAATTCTTATTGAAATGAAATAACATTTTTATGTCATTAATTATTGTAATATATCATTTAAAATAAAAATATTAAAATTAAAATTTATAAAATATTTAACATATTTATTAAATTATTTTGAATATAAAAGTTATAAAATTATTTATTAATAACTAAATTATATAAATATTAGAAATTAATTTTAATAAAAAAAACCTTGATATATTGCCAAATTCTATATGTACTTACCACAAGGCTATGCTTTAGTGTGCATGTAATAATCTTGACTAAAACGGTTAAAATAGTAAACTTTGTCCTAATGACTAAAACAAACCCTAAGCTTTGATCTTTTTAACAAATTTGATCAAATTTTTTCACAATTATACCTTGCAAATTTATGTCAGTAAAATGACATGTCATGGTGAAAGTTCCACTAACCGCCATCAATATAGTAGCAACAGTTGATGGACGAAGGCCACAATTATTAAAAAAAATTACTTCGCGGTATCAATTGTAGCAATTAAAAGAATTGACCAAATTTGTTAAAAATGCAAATTTAGGTTTTTTTTAGTCATTAGGTAAAATTTAAATATATTTAAAAACTTAACCATACGATAATTTTCACAAACTACAATGTACCAATAACAATATTAAAATTAAATTTCTTTAACATGATTATTATTATCACCATCATAATCATAATCAATAATTAAAAATTAAATTTTCTAATAAAAATGACAATCAATAAAATTAAAATACTTAGTACCATAATTATACAATGAGTTTTGGACTATAACTGAAACAACCCGAATTTTTATTTTCAAAACATTTTCTAATTAATTTATTGAACTGACAGCCTGGAAATTCATATTAATATTTTAGTGCGAGCACTATGAGAGACCGAACCGAAAAACCGAACCGAAAATCGATTTGAAAACCGGTAAAACCCAAAATAAAAATCGAAGATTGTGGCCGAATCGAACCGGTTCGACCCAAACCATCTAGAATTTTCTTTTTCCTCTATTTTTAGCGCACATGCTCACTCCCCCTTTCCCCCCCTTCCCCATTCCTGCGCTTCCCGACCACCGGCGATACCATCTCCACCATCTTCTTCTTCTTCTTCTTCTTTCTTTCCTTTTTCTTTCTTTCTTTCCCTTTCTTCTTCTCTGCACCTGCATTCGCATCACTGTCCAGCAGGTCCAGCAGCTCCAGTTGAGCGCCACCGCTGTTCTCACTGCCGCTCGTCACCGGAGCAGCTCTGTCGTTTGTCCCGCCTAGTCCTAACTCACGCAGCGCCACCAGATCACGCAGTCAGGCCCTCTGTCAGGTCTGTCGCGCCTACAGCAGCAGCACCAGCTTCAAGCCTCACTGCCAGCCTCTCCGCCTCTCTCCGCCACTGTTAGTGGATCCGGCCACAGGCAGTTACTGCCCTTCGATCCGGCACGCGTAAAAACTTCCGATCTAGCGAAAATTTGACAAAAGATTATATTTTGGGGTAATAAAATTAATGCTAATAATTTTAGTTACTTAAATTAATTTTATTATTGTAGTTATTATTTTGTAGTTATTTAATTTAGTTAATTTAATTTAGTAATTGTTTGGGTAGTTAATATATTTAACAGTAGTGGTGATTAAAATTAAGAGAACCTTGATAATGATATATTAATGGAATTTATTAAAGTGTGGATTAAAGGTAGTTTAGGTATAATATAATTGATATTGTATTTGGTTGTGTGGTGATGTTGAGATGAAGAGGATGGGAAATTTATTAACTATTGCCCGACGATGGGCCGTGTAGATTTGAGTGAATATTTTGTAATTGTTGATACTTTAGCAGGTGGATAGTCCCAATTTTTTAGGGGAGATGTGCCGAAATTTCGGTTAGAAAATAAACAAAAAATTAGAGTTAGGTTAGAAAAATAAAATTTTAGAATATTAAATAAATTTAGAGTGGTAAAGAAATATTTTGTCTTGATAGGAATTATTTTCTTTGTGGTCGTTCTTACTTTGCTTTAGATCGCTCGGGTCCATCTAGTGCTCCTCCAGGCAGGAATCAAAGCTAGAACTTCGCTCTCCAAGCACTTTGTAGTAATAATAATAATCAGATCAACATTGCTTGCATAGCATTTAATTACAAACCTTATACATATATATTTTTTATATAAACTCATATTTATTTTATATTGAATAGTTGTACTATTTGATTGGGATTTGGTTTGGAATACGTTTGAAAGAATTGTTGATTAATTGTGCTGTGCATTACTGTGCTTTGTTTGTTGTGGAATTGGGATGAGTGGGTCACCATGGGACTGTTGAGACCGTACCGTTAAATGGATCCCAATATGTTACCGTTAGCCGGGTAAATGGGAGATCGGCGCCCCGTGTGCACCTACCGTTTACCCGTTACCGTTAACCACGGGGTTGGCTTCTCGTTCGTTGCGCAGCCGGGACAGTCTAGGATTTGATCGCAGCCCGCAGGGTGGCCCTGTTGTGAGCGCTTGATGATCTAGATTGGATGGAGACCACCGGGTTGCCTTCCTGTTGGTTATGAAAAAGAAAGAGAGGATAGAAAAAACAATGAGAGGACTGGTTCAGTGAAGGATTAGGACCGGTCGGCAGTATGGGGGATCGGCTCCCTGGTTGCACATGGTGAGAGGATGAGCTATGTTGGGAGGACGGCTCATCGGGGGTTCGGTGACTCCACTGACTTTAATTCCACGTGATGTGATTATTTAAGGTGACATTGTTTGTGGTGCTGGTGTATGCCATATGATTGACTGTTGTGTGTTCATTCAGTACATTAGGGCGCATTTTGCGTGACTGTATGTGGTGTGTATTATTTATTATTATTCCTGAGTTGCAAAACTCACCCCCCCCTTTCTCTCCAAACTTCTCAGGTAGTTCAGGAAGCTGCTGATCCAACGGACAAGCTGCAATCTTCTCGCAGAGTTAAAATGTAACCTTTATATTTCTGTTATTTAATTTTGGATGTATAAAATTATCTATTTATCGGCTTTGTTTATTGGAACTCCGCAGTTATAGGTGTGTACTTAATATTGGACTTATTGTTTAGTACTTACGCTATAAATAAATATTTACGTAATAGCTGCAATAATGGTGACCATAAGTCCACCATTGTGATTATAATTTATTGTACATAGGCCCGCCCCGCCCATGGTTATATATTATGTGTTATTTGAGTTATGGGCCAGATGTTTGTATATGGGCCTACGTTTTGATGATAATGGAAGATACATAGATAGATTGGATGAATTTAGGCTTACTACGGGGCCTCAGGGGGCCTTGAAGCTTACCTGGGCCCTGAGTGCCGTTCCGACTCACGGGGAAACGGGGTCGTGACAAAGGTGGTATCAGAGCCGCATAAGTTTAGGAGTCTAGAGATAACTGCGGAGTTATTTCCGTCACGTCTTGATATAGTTTTCTCTTGCCTCTTAAGTTTCAGCGTGATCACCGTATGAGTCCTATTTTCAGTTAGGTTATAATGTAATTGATATGAATAGGATAGGAATGTGT